ATAAAAGATTTGTTATGTATATGTATATGGTTAATATATATATATACACAAAATATACTTGTATTTATACATATATATGTATACATATAAATATATAAAATACATATATTTAAATATATATATATATATATATATACTAATATATATATATATATATACATATTAGTATATATATATATATTAGTATATATATTTTTCAATTGATTTTTCAATTAAAATCCAAATTTCCAACTGATATCCGTTGGAATTCCGTTGAAATTTTTTTAAAAAATTTCTAAAAAAATTTTCAACCGACATCCGTTGGAATGTTTTCAAAAAAATTTCCAACCGACATCTATTGGAATTCCGTTGGAATTTTTTTTCCAACCAACTGATATCCGTTGGAATTCCGTTGAAATTTTTTTAAAAAATTTCTAAAAAAATTTTCAACCGACATCCGTTGGAATGTTTTCAAAAAAATTTCCAACCGACATCCATTGGAATTCCGTTGGAATTTTTTTTCCAACCAACATCCGTTGGAATTCCGTTAGAAATTTCCAACTGATTTTTCCAACGGATATCCGTTGAAAATTTTCAATGGATATCCGTTGGAAATACCGTTGGAAATTTTCAACCTAATTTTTCTATTGAATACGTTGAAAATTCCGTTAAAAATTTCCAACGGGCGATTCTAACGAATATCCGTTGAAAATTTTAACGGAATTTTAACGGAAATCATCGTTGAAACGCCGTTGAAACCCCGTTTAAAAATTTCCAACGGACAAATCTGTTAGAAAATTCGTTGGAATTCGATGATTTTTTTGTAGTGGAGGAATAGATGAGATAGGCGACGAATTGAGTCCTCTCGGCGAGGTAATCGAATGAAGGAGAAGGGCAATCGCTCATGCCAATGAATCCGTTGGAAGGACCACCGAAGGCGAAGGCGAACAAGTAGCAGAAAGAGGCCTCCGGCGGCGGCGTCCAGGGACGATGGTGAGCATGATGCCCATGGTTTCCAAAAGTATTATCCAAATTTTAAATGCCTTTCCACTTAGTTACATATTGGCAACAATTATTTGATCGTATTCAACCCAAAAATACAAATGGTTGGTCCAATATTCGAACCACAAGCAGTCCGTCTATAAACAGCTTAATATCAAAATCTATTAAGCATTTTAAAATATCGAAAATAGAATTGACTAATGCACGCAAGTCAAAAGTGTATTCGTCGGCACTATAATTATTTGAATATAAACCCAAATTAGCCCACCAAGTTTTATTAATATTTAACATAAGAAAAGAGGAGTGACGTTGAAAAGATAAATTATAATAAGATTCGGTCCACGAATTATAAGACAACCATATGCTTAAGATCGATTTCCGAGGAGGCATGTGCATATCCTCGGACTCTTTCCGTCGACAGTTATGTTTAATATTCACTTTATTTCCCGAAACTAAAACTTGATCGAAGTTTATATTCTTGATTTATGAGTTTTTTTTTTTATTTAATCAAAGTCAAAATCCACTTTTCATTCTTTACAAATTAGTCCTCCGACTATTTTCCTTTTGTGAAATCGCCATAATACTTCAATCCTTCCATCTGCGTCTAGGGGCTTATTTGGGATTATACAGAAAGTAGGGGGGAGTCAAATGGAAAATTTTGAGTGCATTTCTCAAAACCTCAAATACAGTTAATATAATCTCATTTTTCTCATAAGAAAGCTTTGTATAATTCTATTTTTAGGACAATTTTTTTTTAACTGTCACAAGAAAGCATTTTTTTTTTGTATAATTAATAATTCTATTTCACCTCCCTCGAAATATTTCCAATTGTTGCCATTAATCTTCGTTCTTCACTTCAACCGCGCATTCATTGATTTCCCTCCGTATCTAAGCTTCCGTTACAAGTTTTTCACCTTTTGTTTGAATTTTTGAAAATTTCAGGCTTTGATTCGCATTTATTTGCTTGGAGAATGTGGAGGTGTTTCGCACTTCAATCCCTGATTCTGCCTTACTTTTGCTGTGATCGCCTTCTTCTCTAATTCGAATTCTTTATGCTTTAATTACGCGTAGCTGGTTTGAGCTGGAAGCTTGAATTCATCAATCGAACTCGTTGGTTTTTCTCGCTGTCGATGCTTTCAATCATTTTGCGATTAGGGTTTCGGTTGTAAAAAGGATTGCTAATCTGAGTAAATGCATGAAAAATCACAGAAATAGAAGGTTTTGCAAGGTTGTCTGATTTTTGTTGAGTTGATATGTCGGGACCTGAATTCAACCCGGTTCCTGGAGAATTCGGAGTTACGTTCGTTCTCAAGGATTTTATCGCTGATCCTGTCTTATCTTATGGAAAGTGTTGTTGCCCCAAATTGTTTATGCGAATTTTATGTTTTTTTTTTATAGCAGGATCGAAGTTTTCTAGTCATTGATTATACTGCTTTTATCTGAGGAAGATCATGGTACTGGTAACTTTGCGGATTTATATTCGGCGGCTCGTGTTATGAGGGTATTCGGGCTTACGTTTGTGTTTTGATGGAGAGTTATTGTATTGTCCTCCACCGAATGAGAAATGGATCCAAGGGAAGAAGTTTTTGTAACGGACAGAGATAGGCAGGAAGGCATTTTGGTTGTTTGTCGTAAAGACGAAGTGAGAGGATACCTGAAGGTAGAGGATGATGTGGGTGACGGCAGAGGAAGTGTTGCTTATGGACCCAAAAATAAAGATGAATCGAGAACGCCGAGTAAGGATGAAATAGAACATGTACGTTACACATTGGGTACGAGTGAAAAAGAGAATGAAGGTGGGTCACCATGGAGAGATGAACTGAATCCAAGTGATGGGGAAGTCGAATGGAGTACTTCAGCGAAGGATGAGGAAAATGACTATCTGGAGACACATGGGAAGGAAGATGAAAGAGACACATCGAGTTCATGTGAAAAAGATGATCAACAAAATACATCGACAAAAAATGAAAGTTATTCCTTGGATGTAGGTGCAAAGGAAGATGAACATGATTGTTTGAACACGGATGGAGAAAAGGATGGATGGGATGCCTCCACAAAGAGGGACATCGAAGAACATAGATTGGATGCATTCGAATGTTTTGAGAAAGAAGTCGAGTGGAACTCTCTTAAGCAACACGAAGGGAAAGAATCAAATGATGCTTTGGAGAGGGTAAGAAGGGAAGAAGGAGGTACTCTGTTGTGGAGCGATGGAAAACAACGACACAGTTTTACATCAAGGGATAAAAAAGAAACTTACCCAGGTTTCCTGGAGAGGGACAATGAGGAAGATGACCCGAATGCTCTTAGGAGAGAGATTGAAGAAGTGAGAACACAAATGCCAAATTGTCAAACTGTAGAAAACGAATTCCATAACCTGAAGAGGGATGGAAGAGAAGAAGATTTGATTGTGAATGAAAACGAGGATGAGAACAGAGTATTTGAAAAGGATGGTGAGAATGATCCGAGTTTGAGTTTGAAGGACAAGGATGATGAACAAGTGAGTCCTAGGAATGAGACAAAAGTAAGTGAACAAAGTGTCAGAAAGCCGGAGACTCCAGTAGAAACTGGAGAGCAAATGATGCTTTGGAGAGGGTAAGAAGGGAAGAAGGAGGTACTCTGTTGTGGAGCGATGGAAAACAACGACACAGTTTTACATCAAGGGATAAAAAAGAAACTTACCCAGGTTTCCTGGAGAGGGACAATGAGGAAGATGACCCGAATGCTCTTAGGAGAGAGATTGAAGAAGTGAGAACACAAATGCCAAATTGTCAAACTGTAGAAAACGAATTCCATAACCTGAAGAGGGATGGAAGAGAAGAAGATTTGATTGTGAATGAAAACGAGGATGAGAACAGAGTATTTGAAAAGGATGGTGAGAATGATCCGAGTTTGAGTTTGAAGGACAAGGATGATGAACAAGTGAGTCCTAGGAATGAGACAAAAGTAAGTGAACAAAGTGTCAGAAAGCCGGAGACTCCAGTAGAAACTGGAGAGCAAGACCTGTCTTCATCTGTATCAGGCGCAGTTAGAGTAGCCCGAGGGGCATTTCAAAACATATACTTTTCTGGACCAGTCTTACCACAGCCACCCACGCTGATACACAGGCGCACCCAAAGTGAGACTGGGACCCCTGGACTCAGGCGCACAAACAGTTTCCAGAGATTGAAAACGCAGATGCAGAAGGCATGGCGTGGGGTCAGCAATCTGCGAGAGGATAGTAGGCCAAGTTTCAACCCTGAGGTACTAGCAGACCAGAAAAGACAGTGGTACCAGCTACACTCTTCCAAAGCTCTGGTACTCAATTTCTCTAGGTGTTCCTATCATATCTTTGCAACGAATATTTGGCTACGTAGTTCCGTTACCCATAATCTGCTTGCCAGAAGCTTGTTATCTTGTAGAAGCATGTAAGCTGATCAGTGTTTACTGTGTTATAACAATTCTAGGATCGAAAAAAATTTAAGGAGCCAACCTCACTTTTCGAACATTTTATCATCGTCGGGCTTCGTCCTGAAACAAATTTGGAGGCGGTGGAGCAGGCATTCCATAGAAGGAAGAAATGGGAGATGGAGATGTCAAGGTACGAAGTGGCAGATTACAAAATTCTCCGTCACCGTGGGCCTCAACTACCTATACTGGAGCCTCAGGTTTGTGAAGTTGTGTACTTTTCTTCAAGTGCGCTGAGTTTTTTGTTTGTGATGCTCTACTTCCTGCATGGTACTTACAAATGGCATGAACCCAGATCCTTTCTTATTGCAATGTTTCATTACTCTGTTTAATGCATTTCTGCTTGTTTATGTTACTTGTACATCTCGGTTGCTTCTTGGCAGTTTTTCTCTTTTTTCGGCTTTAATTTTCATTTTGGATGTGCAGATCCTTTTTAGATATCCCCCTGGAAAACTAATGGCTATGCGTCCAAAGGATCTAGCAACTTTCTGTTTTCCTGGTGGTGTCAAGGTACGGCACATATGTTCCTTCCCTTTATATTTTTTTAAATGATTGCCTATATAAGTATCAGTGTTCAATTGTTAGGACCCATCTCAGTTTAACCACCAAACATTTACCGGGAACTGACCCATATTCTGGAAAAGAAAGCATTTGGAGGCATCGGGATACCTGTCACTGCACATAGCATATCTGATGGGTTCTTCTATGCTTTCTGTTTTAAGTAAGAAACTGTTAAAACATAGTTTTTGTTATTAGGCACGGCTCTTGGAGAGGACACCATCGCTAAGTGATCTAAACGAGCTTGTGTATGGACAGGTACTCGAAATTATTTCTGAATTGAATCTCTGTTTGAGCTTCCATACGGACAGTAGATTAATCAACTTGTGGTTTTACTTATTAGGATTATTTTCTGCTTCCTGCAGGAACATCTAGGGACAGATGATTCGTCATTTATATTTTCATTCAAGGTACTTCTCTTTCTCTTTAGGCTCCTGCAGTTTTAATATACCAGACATGAACTAGTCAAGTTACGTTTTTTGCATGACGACACATATATTGTTTGTGATCAGGTGGCAAATGATTCAACCCTCTATGGCGTTTGCTTGCATGTCTCCGAGATTGTTCAAAGGCCACCTGGTGTATTAAGTACTTCATCACCCTTGCATTCACGTGGAGCAGGCAGTCGTTTTTTGGTTTCTGCACCTCGATGCTATTGCTTGCTAACCCGAGTTCCTTTTTTCGAATTACACTTTGAGATGTTAAACAGGTCATTAAAACCCTTATAATTGGCTTTGCCTTTCATTTAATAGAGGCCAAGAAATTTGAATTTCTGGTACGCGTTTGCTGATGCAGTATGATTGCACAGGAGCGTCTGAAGCGGATAACTGACTTTGTTAGTGAGATGTCCATTGCTGCTTCATGTTGCACTCCATCACCTTCCAGGCCAAAGCATCAGGCCAATGGAAATGCCGATTCACCTGTCAGAAATCCCAATGATTGGATGGATTCTGCCATACCAGTTGACAGTGTCATAGCACTCACGGCTGCTGCAGCGGGATTTATATCTGATGATGACATTGCAGTGTCTTCTCAGAAGATAGTTGAACCTTGGTCTCCTGACAGTGTCACTAATGGTTCTTCGGATGCAATTCATGCCAAGGAAATAGAAAGAGATGGGAGAAAGGGTTCTCAATGTTATGATGATAATTCCTCTGAAGCTTCTGAGACCCGCTTGGATATTCCCGAGAAAATGTACAAAGACTCTGAAAATGGTCACACTTCTCCAGAGGTTAAATTGTCTGATTCTAGGATCCAGCCCATGGAGGGTATTGTAAGCGCTGATTCCATGTTCAGGTAGATTAACACAAGTTATCTCAGGCACAATCTTGATCTATCAACTCCCTTTTTCTCAAAGTTTTCCTGTTCTCTGCCGTCGTTTACTGTTTATTTTTTTGTCAACTAATATTCTGATTTTTTTCTTATAACTTCAATAATACCTTGTTATATGTGGCAGTTCAGTTAGAAGCGTGTTGTCGGATGAGGTTGATGATGGCGGTTTATCCAACAGTGAAAATGATTTTGGAGATGACTTAATAATGGAATGGGCTAGGGTAAGGAGATCAATTTATGTTTTATCGTCTATTGCTTTCTAATATCCTGGTCATGCCCGTATAACTTTGCACGGCTTCTCCCCTTGATAGGACCACAAAAATGATTCACTGCAAATAGTTTGTGGCTACCATTCACTGGCAGTGCCTTCACGAGGAGATAAAATTCTTTTCCAGCCTCTAGATCATTTACAGGCGATCGAGTACATGCGTCCCTCTGTTTCAAGCCTTGGACTGTCAGAAGAGTATCTTGATTCCTTTGATGCTGCAGAGGTATATTTCTTGTTGGGGTGCTCTCCTTTTGTGATATTTCTACATATTTATCTCTGCTAAGCCTTTCTTTTGTTGCTCTCTGTTGAAGGTAAACGCAAGGTTGGCAGCTGTCGAAGAGGCCCTGGCTCTCTCAACGTGGACAACGGCAACAATTTGTCGTGTCCTTTCTCTTGAAACTGTAATGTCCCTTCACTCCATCCTTTTCTTTGTTCCGGTTTGGTGTTGGAATATAAATCCCAATACAATACTGCAAATTTTCTGGCACTGGCTATCCTGGTCTTTTATGTTTCCCGAGTTCTTGATTTTTCTGCAGTACGAAACAATTTAATGGGTCTTGTGTTTTTTGGCCACTTTTAGATCATGGTACTGCTTGCTGGAGTATTATTAGAGAAGCAAGTTGTTGTAGCCTGCCCAAATCTGGTTAGTTAGTCTTTCCTCTTATTGTCCTCGGTCGAAGCTTCTGCACAATTCTCTTCTTTACATCCTAACTCTTATTATATGAAGAAACATAAGCTGTATAGATAAACAGAAAACAAAGAATAGCAGGATTTATAAACGTAATATAAATTAAAGTAGATGGTATTGCCAATTCAGTCTCTAGCTGATTCCATTGCCTTTTTTTGTTTGCAATGGACTTGAAGTATAGCAGTATATTTGGGGCTTGTGAATCTAATCATCTGGGAGAACTGGATCTGAACTTTCACAGTAGTTCTTGATTGTTGCAGGGTGTATTGTCAGCTACTGTATTATCTCTCGTCCCATTGATTCAGCCATTTCAGTGGCAGAGTTTATTGCTTCCAGTAAGCTGCTCGTTCCTCGTGAATTAAAGAGCATTAGGCTTGGTCATGAGTCACGACTTTTATATATGAACTTCAGGTTCTACCGGGAAGGATGTTTGATTTTCTCGAGGCACCTGTCCCTTTCCTTGTGAGTTTATTGTACAGCTCTCATTCCTTTAATTTTTTCCTCTTGTTTCACTACTTTTGGAGTGCCTCATGCATCTTATATCAATCGATGAGAACCCCATCTATACTAGGTTTATTGCTTCTCATTGTAAGGAGATAGATTTTTGAGCCATCTAACCTAACTCGTACTTAGTTGACAAGGGACCGTGATATATGCTAATGAATGCAAGCTTATAAGGACGTTGCCTGCCAATAACTCGTGCTAAATATCTGTGAAGAGATAAAACTCAATGACTAAATGTTTTCTTCAAATCGATATTTTTTGTTGTACTTGGCAGGTTGGTGTACACAGCAATTCTGCTGATGCGAAGAACAAGACGTCTAATCTTATTTTAGTTGATGTTCTCAACGATCAGGTCAGTTGGCACTTCAGAAAACCATTTTCCAAGATCCAAATTGACCATCAACGGCCTCAATGCATGTAACTGCGTCTCGTCAGGTGAAAACATGTGATTTGCCTGCATTGCCTCGGTGTAGAGAACTCATGGCTCAGCTGAGTCCAATTCATGCCACACTAGCACATCAAAGCTCGTTTGCCAGAAGGAACCCGGTGAATAAATGCAATGAAGTGCAGGTATACAGTGTATAACCCCGAATTCCTGTGTCTAGTTTTTTTTTCTTCTGGGACACTCATATTTTAAATGACCATTCCCAGGACGAAGCGGCGAAGAAGCTTTTAACAGTGATGAGGCAATACATGGAATCTCTATGTTCAGACTTGCGGTCTCATACAATAACCAGTGTTCAATCTAACTCTGACAGGGTACTTAGTGACACACTTCAAAAAGAACAACAACTACTTGTTTGCTTTGTGTCCTCACATCTCTCTCTTTAAGTTCAAGGACAACAAAAAGAGCTCTCTCTCTCTCTCTCTCTATATATATATATATATATATATATTGATCGTCTCATTTTTTTTCTCTTTCAGGTATCTTTACTTCTCAAAGACAGCTTCATCGATTCATTTCCATGTAGAGACAGGCCGTTCATTAAGGTTAAAACACCGCTTTATAACGCATATCCAGTGGTAGATAAACATGTGAAGAGATTGGACTCGTCAAAATCCTTAAAAAAAAGCTCTAAACGTTTTTTTTTTTTTGTGGTCGGAATTTTGCAGATGTTCGTAGACACGCAACTGTTTAGCGTACTGTCAGATTCTCGTTTGTCAAGCTTCGAGAATGGACATGTCTAACGATACACATACACACCTGTAGAAGGAAGACTCGTATCCATCCATCTATACACCGAAGAGAAGGAACTCAAAAACTGGTGAAAGCCGAGGAGGAAAGGGGTAACAACTACTTTTTACCGTTGGAAATTACCCCCACAAGCTAACGCAGGTTTTGTCCACTATTAAAGAATATTAGGGTTGTTAGAATATTAGTTTGTTGAGCTTGTTAGTATTTTTTATTTTGTATTTTATATTTTATTTTTACTATTTGATCTTTCTATATAAATATTTTGTACCCCTTTTACTATGAATGAGAATCAGAAAATTATTCTAAAAAAACTCTTCTTTCTTTCTTATTCAAAATCCTCTTCTTCTTTCTGTTGTTGTAAATTCAATAGAATAATGTTTCTTTAAATTTAAAAAACTAAAATTGTACGCACCGGAATGCCCATTATTGTGTTTTGTGAGCCACAGCTTTGAATCTTACGGGTTTTGAAATTGCATTGGGGGGCTTATGTGGTTAAATTCCGTGCTCTTGTTCACCGGAATCGGCGAAAATGGGAATCGTTTTCCTCCGCGGAGGAAGAGAGCAATATATGTAAAGGTCCATCTTTAACGAGACTTGGGCTTACTATAAAGCCCATTAAGGCCCATCCATACTCGTTTCCATCTCCATGAACGCGGGTTCATCAGAAATACCCTTAAAATACTACTTGTACTTCAGAAGATACAGTCCTCTAGGAAAAAATCTGACTACTTTAAATATACCTCTCTAAATATACAATACTCATTTTACCTTTTTTTAATTAATTAAAAAATCATTTAGTTTTCCAAAATGCAGCTTTTGTTTCCCTCTCCTACAAATTCCGTTCTCTCTCCTCTGAAATTTATTTTCTCTCTCCACCAAAATTTGCTTTCTCTCTCCTCCGATTTTCTCTCTTCTCCATGTAGCCCATGTGACTTATGTATTTGACCGTGTGGTCACAGAGTCACATGGTCACATGGTCACATGGGTCACAATGAGTCATACGGATCACAAATCTATGTTCTTTATACGGGCCATTATCAAAAATACTCTTTTTTTGATATTTCGACTTCAAGGCATACACTTCTCAATCTGTGATTCTGTGATCCATGTGACCAAAAATTTAATTTTGGTCACATTGGTCATAACGTTGAATTTATAATATTTTTAATCAAATTATTAGTAAGATATACAAAGTATGAACATAATGAATAAGTGTAATCATGATGTTTGTAAAATAACTTCTATCAAGTATGAAATACATTTTCCATGAGTACGATATCTTTGCATTAGCACGATGTTTAATAAGACTGATTTTTTTGCACTAGTACCATGTTTAAACCTTGAACAGACAGAAACAGATTTGCACTGTGTGACTCATGTGACTCTCATATGACCCATGTGACCCGAAGACATTTTTGCACTATGTAACCCATGTGACTCGTGACTCAATCACACTAAAAAACACAGTCGAATCTCAGTTTTAACGTTTCAAGATAGTTTATATGGAGTTTTATAATGACAATATGATGTTTACAAGTTAAATTCGTTAATTTAGTTATGAGTTGTTTGAACATTAGTGCAAATTATTTCAAAGTGTTCTTAAAACATTAGTATCACCTATGGAGTACATTTCTATAAGTGATTTGGATTTGAAAATTGAAACAACGATGATTTTAAAATTGTTATTAATATTAAAATCAAAGATTAATCATTGTATATCCATTCATACACAACAATGATTTTAAAATTGTTACTAATATTAAAATCAAAGATGAATCATTATATATCCATTTATAGTGACTAATTCGATAAAGTCGAACATTGTGATCCATGTGTCCTGACGTTGTTTTTTGGGAACATGCGGGACCTACTGATACGTGTGTATCGAGTCTAGAATTTATAACCCGATTCACAACTCACCGCAAGGATACGGATCGTCGTAACACGGGGTCGAACACAAGGACCGGTTGCTAAATCCAAATCTAGATCGAAAATAGATCAAAGCAAGCAAGCAAGTGGAAGTGATGGTGGAAATAAGTGGAATCAATGGAAAATAAAATAAGAAAGCAAATAAAAACAAGTGACCTATCAAACAAGGATGACTACGGGCGTCGGGATCGTATTCGCGTGTATGGGTATTTACTAAGCATGCATGAATAACGATTATGACTTGTATTCGGGAATCATCAAGCAACAAAGATAGAGAATTCACCTCTCGGTCTACTAACTCCCTACCTACAGAGTAACTCGTCAATCTCTCGATCTATTCAAGTTAACCCTAGGTGCATAAAGAACGCTATCATCAACCCTAGATCGATTAAACCATATCTCTATGTGAATAATACGATCTATCCTATTGATTTTGATCCGAAACAAACCCATATCTCTATGTAGTTCAGAATCCAAGATAATTGATCAAGGGGTTAGCAAACATCAATCCAATAAAAACGCAAATCAATAGAACCGAAATAAATCAAAACCGAAATCCAAGTTAGGGTTCAAACATACCCAAAACACATACGAATCCCTAACCCATAGTCATGGATCTACTCAAGGTTCATGGAAAATAATAGAAAGAACAGAGAAAAAGAGATAAAAGAAGGGATAGAAAAGCTCATGTCGATGTCTAATCTTCACGATCGAATCCTCCTTCTTCTTCCCGAAATCCCGTGAACTTCTATTCTTCGCTCCCCAAAAGCTCTCCAAAATCTGTATCTAGGTATTCTCTGAGGTTCTCCCCTCTACTAGGACGTGGCTAGGGCTTTTTATAACCCTAGGGTGGCTCCCAAGAGTCCTAATCCCATTCCAATGCTGAAAATCGCGAAACAGGGTTTTAGACTATAGACTTAGGAAAGTTTTTACCCTTTTGCATATCACTTTGCATTAGTTGCATTTACACGTTTTCTTTCTTTTCATATAGATGGGCTTTTGTTAGGTTTGCATGATTGCATTTGACATATAGATTTAGGTTCATATAGGTTCACGTGCATACCTCGAAAACCCGTTTTGAAGCATCATCGCGAGAGATCAAAAGCAAAACATCCATCCAATACTAGTTTCCCGAGAATCGTACTCAAACCGGTCTACTATGATCTTCCTACCAAAGACTACTCTACCTAGCCATGGGATTTTTATTGCCACCTAGAACCCATTAGAATCTCTACAACACACCAAGCCTATTTCTGAACCTATCCTTAGCTCAACTTAGCCTATTCGATCTTAGTTCTATTCTGTACCTGGATTTTTACCTTTTTGTAGAATTTCTTTAATGAACGCTAGCACCTCGGGTTTCTAGGACGTTGAAGTTGAAGGACATCATTTTCTCTCTTTCTTTTCTCTTCTCTCTGTTTTTTTATATTATTTTTTTTTCTTTTGATGCGATATCCGACCCACAACTTAGACCTGAACCATCAATCGATGCACTCATGTCCTCGAACGATTTTCGTTGACGAGATTCCGACAGCGGAGTGTCGAGATGCTTTATTTTCCCAAGGCAATTGTTGAACTAGATTTCATCGACCTGCAAGACTCGGAAAAGGTTCTACAAGAAACATATAACCTGGATATAGTCGTTTCAACTCCGTAGGTTCCAAATAGCAATCCTATCCCACAAACTATATATAGAAAGTCTGGAGAACTATCAATTCAACACGGTTCAACCACGCTCTACAAAGTCACTAGATCATCAAGATATTTCTACTCTATCATCCCAAAAATCTTCCAAATGATGTTCAAAACGGGTTTTCGAGGTATGCACGTGAACCTATATGAACCCAGACTTAAACCTTTGCTCGTCCTCGAGTAAAGAACGAAGGAATAAAATCTGCAAAACAGGGAATGACGAACATCAAATAGCATCATCGCAAGAGATCAAAAGCAAAACATCCATCCAATACTAGTTTCCCGAGAATCGTACTCAAACCGGTCTACTATGATCTTTCTACCAAAGACTAATCTAC